TTTGATCAATAACTCATTCAAATAGATGTATACTTGTTGGATCAATATTTCTCGGAGACTTTTCAAGAGCGTTGTGGTGCCTATAGACACACGCACGTACTCGCATATTTTAACATACTATTTTCGTAAAACCAATTTTGGCGAATATTTTTTTGGCTTCTGGGGACTGCCCAACGGCGAATAGGAAAAGAGGTTTCGTATCTAGGTCTTACTCTGGTAACTACGGCAATAGGCACATATTTCGACGTTCCGTACAGTACTTGGCCTTACCACATCGGATACTGTAGAAGTCATTCGAGACACGATCGGCTGTACGACGATGGTTTCGTATGACAAAGTATGCAAAAACATTAAACGTAGGTAGGCCTAGTTAAATATGTGAAATTTCAACGTGATGCTTCTATTACTTATTGGTTCAATGACTCTAAACTTTGACAAGTATATGCTATATTATGGCACCATCAAACAAAAACAACTGTTTTCACATCCAACTCACAACCGAGTGGAATCTTTCCAGTTTCCACCACACAAGATATAATCCGTTAGTCGATAACTGTATACTCGCCATATTTGTGACCGTGGTATACGTTATTGGCGTGTCTATGCACTGTATGTAGATGTAGACAAGACAGCTAGTTGTGAGCGGGTCGCGGGATTAACCAAGCATCAGTTGGGGACCAATAGTAACCGGTTATCTCCCCCCCACCCCTTCTCTCCTCTCACGACACACCACAGAGCCACATACCGCGGCCCTGTGGTGTGTGATGTGATGTGTCGACTGCCGAGGTGACAATCGGCAACGGCAACTATGTTGCTACTGTAATTAGGCTGTAAACTTGTGAGAAAACTAAACGGTGGCGGTGTGCCACCTCTCCATGAAATATATGTTTGTGGATTCATCAAACGTTGATTGATCATGAATCGTAGAAGTGAAATATGAATTCTTCACTACTTACTATGAACTTTGTAGGATGTTATACCCTAAAGGCTGTGTGTATTGTGTAATTATGGAACACAAAATATGCATGGACTCTTTTCTTATGTGTTAAATGAAAATTTAAAACCCCCACAATAATGGATCTCCTGGTTAAAACCTCTATTTTAACAACAATTATTTTCATGGATTGACGTCATAAACTTTCTTTTAGAAACATAGCATCGTGGAATTTTAACGAGACTAAAAGTTAAATGATTAAACAAAGTTTATGTATTTGAAGACTCTAACTTCATAAACCCCAGTGATAAAGATGATTTTTTCAACTTGGTGACAGCTTGAAAATTAACTTGAAGGTTGGAAACCTTGGACGCTGACTAAAACCCAGATCACTGACAGTACTACTAATAGTAACCTTTTATTTGTAAAAAAAAGTGATCTAGAGGGTAGGTTCTTTAGAAAGTAGCCTACAGTATAAATAAAACCAGTTTATTCTAGAAGGTTTTGTAACCAACATTAGAAGTTTTACAGTAGGATCAGTAACATGAAGCAGCCAGCGGCGATGTTCTCTTATCAGATAACGTCAGCGATAGACGCGGGGCGGTGATAAGGCGCTCCCCTCCCACAACTGATAACGGACGACGGAAGTCCTGTCCTGTCGCCGCGTGGGGCCTGCGCGCTATTTGTAGCACATCACCCGCCAGCCGCCACTGCCACTGTAGGTCTTCCCGCGCTCCCGCTGCCATGACCCACCGCTTCACAACACTTAACAGTATTGTACTGTGCCTTGGCAACAACGTGCATTCATCACTTCTCACACTGTATTCCACTTTGGTTAGTTAACAATAAATACAGTTACCTACTGTACATGTTTGTTCATACGGTGCACAATTTTTACATCCTCTCCCTATACACCAGTACTGTCATAGTCTACGGAGACAGTATTTTTTCGTCAAAATCTCCAAGGTTGGGTTATAGGTGGATGTATCCGTTTTGTGCCCCCCCCCCTGAAACCAAAAATAAAGGGATTTTCGAATGGTGTCTGTGTGTTTATATGTGTATGCATGGATGTGTACAGAACTAGTGTCTCTCCCCTTTCCGGTAAATATGATTAAGATGTCGCCAAAGTAATATTTACAAAAAATGTTAACAGTTCGTGATAATCGAGATGGGAAGAATCGCAGAGGGAAAGTGAACCACCATGAAGTGAACTGAATTGCGCAACTGCAGTTAAGATACTGGTATCACATTGGACTATCCAAGTGCCGAGTTTTGGTGCGAGGTGTGATTGTTGTTGTGTTACGCTAGGAGTTGTTGGTTGTTGGTGTTGCGGCGCGGGCCGCGGCGGAGACTGAGTGAGTGAGAATACACAGTACAAACGTAACGTAACTCTGTGGGGGTGGGGCGGTGAGGACCCTGACCTTCCCCAACGACGTGGCAACGTCGCGGCCGACACCGACACAACACTACCACGTGCAACCGGCCGGTATCATATCATGGTATCATACAACCAGATGAATCATCAGTACAACTCATACAGACACACGGAGGCGGCGTGTAGGAGAAAAACCTACACCTATGACAGTCATTGAAACTCATAGCTTGCTGAGTGTAAAGATGGTCATAAACAGGTTTAAAAGGGATGACCTTGCAAAGGGGGTATTGATTTCAATAACAAAGTTAGTTCAGTTTGACACTTATGAAAGATCCATTATAAGTTCATTGGGATTGAGATGACTTAATCTACATTCTAAAAAAAGGTTTTGAATAGGCTATTGTATTCTGGAAAACAAGAAACTATTTACCACTTGCAGAACTAGTAACTCGGGCATTTCAGCTTTTAAAGTTAAAACAGTTGATCAACTTTTTGAAATTTCATCTAGTTATTGAGATGATAGATCCATATTGGGGGCTTATTACTTTTGGTTATCAATACTTGAATTTTAAGTGACATTGAGGTCACTACTGTACATAATCTTTGTCCGTGCAAGTAAGCCTGTACCTAAGAATGTACTGTACTGTACTGATAAATTTATTAGTGGTGACCAGGATGCAAACCCAAGAAATTGCTGCCTTGCTTGGTACCATAGATAATGTTGCTACCAAACTAACTAGGCCTATTGTCTATTTCTCTCTCAAGATTCAAGTTCATTACAAACTAGCAAAAAAGAAAATTTTTGTCTGTATCTCAGCTTTCTCTACAGGAAACCCACGATAGGACCAAAAAATTCGAACAACTTCAAGGAAAAATAAGACAAATCCAAAGAAAAACTATTTTAAGATTTTAATGGTTTCTACAAAGTTATATTGAGCGACTCCCTACTGTATCTATTGGGATTTGGCTTAAAACCTTATTAGCATACTGATCAAGATAGTGATAAGTTAATAAAATTATGATTTAAAGTGCACTTTGCCCACCTATTGCTTGATGTGATTTGGAGTGGATTGTGAAACATTTACACTTCTGAAAATGCATTTAAATGACGTTTCTCTAACTCAAGGAGGTAAAGTCCAAAATGATAGTGTAATATTCATTTTATCTATTTTGCAATACTTACCCACAAGTTATTTATAAACATTTTTCTTTGTTTTTAAAACTCTTAATTTTCTTGGTATGAGTCTTGGAGCCCACAATCAAGAACATCCATGCTCTATACATTGTGAAATTCACTCCAAAATATAAAAGAACGAGATTTTTAGCCTTTAACAAGTCTAAGGGGTGCATATTCCAAAGTTTTTAAACAGTATAAATGTCAGGGGTGGTTTGGTAAATGCGCCAGAGCCTACGGGATGAAAGAGGTTTTAAGTTTTTCAGGGGTGCAAAGAGAAAAATTCCCTGACAATGAATGGGCGCAAGGGGGCGTAAATATTTTAGGGTAAATTTTTTGGTGTGTCAAACCGCAGCCCGAACAGTGAGGAGGATAACTTAAAATGATGACATTAAAAGTAACAATTCTGGACTACATTGGGATATTTGAGCGCAATCCAAAAATTGCAGAAGATGAAAAAAAAATCAATCTTCTGGATGACACAGTCACAAGCTACTTACACTAACATACAAAATAACTAACTGCAGAGGATATATTAACTGGTCAAAGGGTTAGTTTTGCAGTGACAGTGTTTTTTTAGGTCTGCAATCTTCCTGGACCACATTATCTTTACGTGAAAGTGACTAATAAGAGTTGAGGGTGGAAGTGAGCAGATTTTTTTAGAATTCTTTGGATTTCTCTCTCTCTCTCTAATCCAGATGAAAAAAAAAACTCCCTGAAATATTTTTATGACAACTCCTCGGACCCAACACCCTCCTTGAAAGATCCCAGTATAAAACTTCAAATGCACAGCTTGACTTTTACTATCTTTGTCAACCTAGCTACAGCGGCAACACAATAATTATTGTTATTACACTTATTTTTTTATTACATAGGCTTACATGGAACTAATGATGGTCTAGGAACAAATTAGTGTAGCCTATTTTGGTCAGTTTATTGAAATTCTAATTTGTTAATACAGAATGCCACAACAATTTGATGTGGTAAATATCTGGATGGTGATATATAATTTAGATGGACTGTTAAGTTTATCAATGTTTAACAGTTAGTTGTTTTCCATTACCGTACTAGTTATAAAACGTAAAAAAAAGTTACTTATAAAAAGTAAACAGCTTGTGATTTTTCTACGTACGGAATCAATTGAACTATATAATAATAGTGTCATTTGATGTCTGGATTGATCTTGGGATTTGTAAATAGGCCTAAAGTTTACTTTAAAAAAATTTCATTTTTATATGTTATTATATTTATAATTTTACTTCTTCTATTTTACATTTTGACTATCAAATTACTCTACCACTTTTTGTTAAGAAAATTTTACTGTGGACAAAATGCTAAAAGAATTATTAATTTATTCCCTAAGGTTTTATTTCTATAACACTTAGCCTAGATTACAAGTCTACAAATTCAGTAAAATTAATTGATGCCGGAGGGTCCTGCAGGTAGCGCATTAATTCCTTCCCCAATGGGTTAAAGAGCTCCTACTTTAATAAATGTAAATAAAGTGCTAAGCCTACCTTCAGCCAGCCTCCCCTGGTTGTAACGAGGTTGTACAGAAGGAAAAGATCAATCTCTTGTCCATTGATCTTTGGAGTTTTTCTAGAGGGTGTTCTGAAACAAAGGAAGAATATATATTTACGCTCATTGTGGCAAAGGAGAGCCTAGAGATGCTTTATAATATATTAGACAACACACAAGTTAGATTGAGAATAAGTTAAACCTGTAGGCCTATGTGAATTTAGTTAGGCAAACATTTTATTGGTAGTGCAGGCCCGAAACAAAAAGGAATTCAATAACTTATACAAAAACGACAAAACAAGAAAAAGGCAGGAATTTAAGTTTTTAAAGTTAAGCCTAAGTTAATAAGTAACTTAAGTTAAGAACACCTAGTCTAGACTTATTTCGGGTACAGTTCCGCAGAGAACCTGCGGATGTTAGGCCTATTGTTGTTTTAATTAATGATATAAGTTACTGTACCGGTATAACAATTAAGTAATTTGGTTTGATATAAGTTAAGGCTCAACACAACTAGTTTCTAACATTTTTCCCCAATGTAAATATCGAGTTAACTTATGATCTGCTTACGTTTATATTGGGGTTTGGGGTATATGATAAGCTAACATTGAATTGAGAAAATTATTGTCAAGCTAACACTAAAATTAATGTTACCTATGAGAAATGTGCAGGTTGTGTGAAATTTACTTTATGTAGGCCAAACGGAATAGAAACACCTTCTAATCTAATTAGGCCTAGGCTAAACATTATCATTAGAGGCCTAACTTAATTTTTGGCAGTTTTATCAACTAGCCTAGGCCTAACTTAGGCTTTAAAGTTAATTTTCGAAAAGTTTAGGCCTAACTTATAGATTTTCAAATAACTTAACTTATAGGCTACCGGTACCAAGATAACCTCAAGTTAACTTATTGAAGTTTTAAGACAATAGGGCCTAACTTAGGCCTACTTAGTAACTTTAAAAGTTTTTTTTTAATCCTTAAGTTATGACCTAAGTTAAGTTATTTAATAGGCCTGCCACGATTACTAGAAAAATACCGGTATATGGATCATAAACATAAACAAATGACGTTTTTGGCCCGAAAATAACCATACTAACATTGCTTAAATGGAACTTCCAAATCATATGTTCAATGCTATTAGTCCTAGGATTCGGGCCAACAACGTCATTTGTTTAAGATGTTTATGATCGATACCGGTATTTTTCTAGTAATCGTGAGGCCTGCTTATCAAACATATTTTAACTTAAGTAGTGAGGCCTATTTACGATAGGTTAATATGCCATGTAACTTAACATAATTTGGTAGGGCCTAAGCATTTTTTAGACTAGAAAGTGACATAAGTTAGGTAAGTTACTACCGGACGATACCGGTCTGTGGTAGACGGCAAGTCTATGTGACTAGTCAACAATACAGTGAAAGCAAGCCTAGGTTTGGCAAGGAATGTGAGTGTTAAATTTAGTAAGGCCTAAGTTTGGCTGCACTTTACTTTAAGTCCTACACTCATTCGAATGAAAATATCGATTATTCGATTGTTTCATTCGATATAACATTTGGTTAGGTTAACCATACCTAACTAACCAAACGATATATCGAATGAAACAATCGATTAATCAATACATCGATCGATATTTTCATTCGAATGAGTGTAGGACCTAAAGTAAAGTGCAGCCCTAAGTTTAACCCTCCCAGTGTTACTTGACGAAAATTCGACAAGCAGCACACTTTGTGTAGTGTTACTTGTCGATTTTTCGACACGCAGACATCGTTTACGACGAAGGCTCTATGACTGACTGAATCGGATTGAACTGGATCGAGTTAGGTATCGTTCTTTCCGTAATATTCTAAGCTTTCTCCAGAGGTCTGTCTCTAAGCGCTATTCATTTTAGTTCCGAAAATATTGTAGCAGACATCTGACGTGCGTGTATTTGTAAACAGCTAGGTTCCCCCGAACCGATGACTGATGTGTTTTATTACGTTTATCATTGTTTTAGTGTTAAAAATCAAAAGTAGTGATATACGTGGTGCATTATAAGAAGATTTAAGTGGTTTTGAAGTGCTGGTTGATGATCCTGAAGAAGTAGGTAGTGATATTGATGTAAATTATCAGCCAGATTCCTAGCTATGGTTAGGCTATGCATTCTTAGCTAAACGCTATGTACTGAAATCAGTTTTTTGCCCATAACTTATTTATTTGCAAATAAACTTCCTTATATTATTATATATTTGTAATCCTCATAAAATTTAGAACAAAGTGGCTATTTTCAAATATTTATAGGCCTATAATTTATACAATTTCATTGAGCGCAAACTTATTTTTTTTTTGAAAATTTTCGAAATTATATTTTTTTTACCTAAAAAATTTTTTTTTGAAAAAATGTTCCTTATGTTTTATATATAATATTGAAGCCCACGATTTTCCAAACAAAATGGTATATAGAACATTAGAATTAACATTGTTTTAAGCTTCTCAGATCCGTTTTAATAAAACCTTGCAAATGCGCCAAAAATAGGTGGACATTAAGGCCTAAACTATGGACACTTGGAGGGTTAAACCTACATTATGATACAATTGCTTCATTAATAGCATGCCCAAGCTTTTGGACACAAATAAGTTATGCTGGGCCTAAGTTATTTAAGTTATCGCAACAATTGATTTTTGGAAAACTAACTTTAATAAATAGCCTAGGTTTAAGTCAGTCCAAAGGCCTAACTTACTTTAACTTATGGCATTAGGCTACTTACTGAAAGAGGGTCGGTTTATTTATCTTAAAAAATTGGGGACCTCATTAGGTTTGATTATAATATTCACTGACAAGCCAAGGTGTGCATAAGAATGTGTTGAATAAATTATGTTAGGTAGGCCTAATCAGTAAGTGCCCTAGCCTTCTAACCTAGGCCTACTTATAATTGAGTTAATTTTTTAATGAAAGTTTGTAAATTTTTTCACTAACTTACAAGACCTTACAAAAAAATAAGACTTACCCCCGAGTTTCATGAAAATGTTGCAGTTCTTTTATAAAAGTATCCCGTTCCTTCTGATACAAGGCGGGGTCTTTGTTCAATATTTTGGCCATGGTTGGTTGAAAGCACTACTGCTCACACCGCATGAGTTTTACCGAGAAATTTATCCATCGAACGCCCGTTACGCGGCTCGCGAACATAGAAAACACTGCAAACGCGGCTGATGATAGCAGTTTAGCCCCAACCAACGAAGGGTATTGTTCCTCGTCCCGCACAAGCACTGCTGTGTTGGTTCATTCACTTCCTTCTCAAAAATATTAAGATTCCGGCAGAATTTAAGTACTACAATGGGCCTAAAATCAATACGAGTATAGTATATCACATAATGATAAAAATGGGACAGATTTTTACACTAAAACTAACTTAAAGCCTCAGGAAACACACTCAGCACAAATCTTAACAACTAGTGACACCAAGCCAGAGCTGTACGTTCACCAACATTCAAGATGGCGTCACTTCACTACCTGTCCTGTTGTAGAACAGTCAATATTGTCACATGATTGCCGTATGTTTCGACAAAATATTTACTATAATAAATTTTACAAAATTACTGTCGACAAACTTAAATTTTCAGATTGATGGTTGCACGGCAAAAAGCGTTGAATAAATCTGATAACGCGAAGTAAAATATTTATTTAGTTTCGTTAAATTCCGCTTAGTGACGAGACGAGAAGCAGCACTGTTCAAGACGTGGTTGAGTTGACAAGCAGATGGCCATTAGTTAAAAATTATGTCAGAATAGAATTATTGAAGTCACATCACAATACATTCTGTGTCGATTATGGGTTGTAAACACCTTGGCATTTCACGTTGCATTTTTGCTTGCACATAGGGGTGCACGGAAATTCCTACGTGCCATGGCAATTAACAGTTTGATATTTCAATTCAGGGCCGTGGAATACCATGCTACTGATAACGTGTACTGTTGGACGTTGGTTGTTATTAGAAGAAGAACACACTAACTTATTTACTCGAAATATTATCTATCCTTGTACCCCACCACCCAAATTTAGTTGTTAAGTAGTCTCTGTATGTCCTCATGGGCGCCCTCAGGGGGTGGGTGAACTAGAACTTGCACCCATCTGGCAAAAAATAGGGAAAAAATGTAAAACGGTGCCTGAAATGTTCTGTAATTACTCCAAAACTACTGTAAATAGAAATTTATAAAAGTTTGTTTCATAATAGTAATTTCTTATTTCTTTAGAAAATTTCCCATGGGGAATAAGCTATTACCGTAGTACTCACGGTAAGACCTGGACTCGGGACCGATTTATTTTTTCGTTTTGAGGTCCCTAGAGAGGGCAAAAACACCACCCGTTCAAATAACTCATATAATTCATTTTCATTCGGTTGATTGTGCCAACAGATATGGAAGTGTACCCATATATTATATATATGTCCGTTAGCACGATAACTCGAGCAAAACTGATCCGATTTTGATTAAATTTAAACGTGTAAACCTACATTTATTAGAACGAGTTCGCGAACCAGTATGATCGGACTATGGGAACAGGGGTTTATGGGGTAAAAATTGGCTTTATTCTATCTTTGACAAAAAAAAGGTAGAGCTTGAAAACAAATAATTTAGTATAGGCCTATTGAAGCGTTGTAATGTACCTAGTGGTTACGGAGAAAAATTAAAAAAATTGTAAATTTTAAATTCTCACGTTATTCTTATGGAGAATAAGTAAACTGTTGTAGTTTGCTCGTTTATGAACATATTTTGATCAAATTTAGAAGATGCATTTATTTCTTGCTTAACTATTGACATTTTACAAGTAATAAACCCTTTTTACCCTCCCTCTGTTGCAGTAAAAATAAGTACTCTTTAAATTCTATTTAAATAGGGAATGATTTAACCATATAAATTATAGACTATAATATTTTAACTTATATAGCTTATTATATATTACTAGCTGTAACCCGCGGGCTTTGCCCCGTTTAACTTCTTAATTTTCAAGATGATCTCGTTCGCATGGCTCAATCACGTCCTGGTTGAAGTTCGTTCGCTACGCTCACTCACCTTTAGGTTGGAGCTCGTTCGCTACGCTCACTCACCTTTAGGTTGGAGCTCGTTCGCTGCGCTCACTTGCCTTCAGGTTAGCTCGTTCGCTACGCTCACTTGCCTTCAGGTTAGCTCGTTCGCTACGCTCACTCACCTTTTTGGTTGCAAATTAGCTGTTGTCATAAATGTAAAAGAAATAATAGTGCTGCACCCTGTTGGTAATCCTTGTAACTTTAATGCTATTGAACATCATAGAACAGAACCAACTTGTTTAATTGAAACAGCTGTTAAGATTCATTAATTCCATTTCTCATAAGGTTAACATGGGAAACTCCAGAGCCACTGGGGCGGAGCCTATTGGACGGATCACGAAATTGATGGTGTATAAACCTATTCCATGACATTCTACACGTATGTACCAAGTTTCGTGGCAATCGGTTCAGCGGTGTCCGAGTTTATCACCCCCAAACAAACAAACAAACAAATATATATACAAACATCCTCTTTTTTTATATATAGACTAGCTGTAACCCGCGGGCTTTGCCCCGTTTAACTTCTTAATTTTCAAGATGATCTCGTTCACATGGCTCAATCACGTCCTGGTTGAAGTTCGTTCGCTACGCTCACTAACCTTTAGGTTGGAGCTCGTTCGCTACGCTCACTCACCTTTAGGTTGGAGCTCGTTCGCTGCGCTCACTTGCCTTCAGGTTAGCACGTTCGCTACGCTCACTTGCCTTCAGGTTAGCTCGTTCGCTACGCTCACTCACCTTTTTGGTTGCAAATTAGCTGTTGTCATAAATGTAAAAGAAATAATAGTGCTGCACCCTGTTGGTAATCCTTGTAACTTTAATGCTATTGAACATCATAGAACAGAACCAACTTGTTTAATTGAAACAGCTGTTAAGATTCATTAATTCCATTTCTCATAAGGTTAACATGGGAAACTCCAGAGCCACTGGGGCGGAGCCTATTGGACGGATCACGAAATTGATGGTGTATAAACCTATTCCATGACATTCTACACGTAGTATGTACCAAGTTTCGTGGCAATCGGTTCAGCGGTGTCCGAGTTTATCACCCCCAAACAAACAAACAAACAAACAAATATATATACAAACATCCTCTTTTATAGATATAGATATATAGCTTGTTAATTTTTAACGTCTGCATAAGACCATGACTTAACCTCCTAGGTGCACAATATACCATTTTTATTTGGTTGCTTCTGAATTACTAAAAACCTTAAAATATGTTTTAAAACGCTATATTTTCAGAAATATAGTGTCCTGGAGCCGGACCCAACCCCCTTCTAGAGTGTTCGTTTTATGAGTGCAGTTCTGAGGGCAAGAGTTGTCTAAAAACTTTGAAGAGGGCCATTTTACAGCCTGAGACTTGAAGGTGCGAGTGCCAGCCAAGTATCAGTGGTCGGTTCCACGGTGTGGCGGGTATGGGGGTGGAAAGATCGACCAGGGAATAAGAATAAAGTATGAAATGAAACTGTTATAACCTAACTTAACCTAACCAAACTTGCTGATTATGAAATAATTGAATGAAGGTTTACGTTTACTAATCTAAATCTAATCTATGTTTTCAACCGATTTTAGGGTAGCCCAGGTAATCGAAATTTTACCCGGTCTCCATTACATCCTGCCCACTACACCCCCTTCAAATAATTTCACCCCCCTCCTTGTACCATTCTTACGCTCTGGGGAGCCAAACGGCAACAGGCCTACCCGATGATTTTGACAGTTTATGACCCTCGCGGTAAAAAAATAGGACGGCACTTGCTACGGTTCGTTATCTTTTGGGAGAGCACAATTTCACATGTACAGAAACCTTATACTGACGTCATAAATATCGAATGTATATATCGATTGTACTGGGTGGTTACGGGTTTTTTTCTTCGGAATGTAAGTATCGGTTGCACCGAATAAGTAAAGGGTTTTTTTTGTAACACTTTATTTGACGAATTGAATACTCTCGGTAGTTTATCCATTATAAATCAAAAATAGTAGGAATACAATAATATTCGTTACAGGCTGGGAATAAAATAATTACTGATACTTTGGATTGAACATCCAAGATGTTTGCAATTGTTTTCGTATTTACCTGACTTATAAAATAAAAACTTGAGTTCACAGGACGTTGAATACTAAGAATTTATTTCATAGCATCCACAATAATAAAGTCCCAGTACTTTCATTTATAAATAACAAGATAAGGCTTAGTAAGTATAACGTTATTGTGAATTAAATGGAGCCAGAATAATATAATTGGGTAAAACTTATGGTGTTTTATTAAGATGTACTAAAGGGGAAAATGAGAAAAAAGCTCTACTTTTTTCTGTAAACCTAAACCATTGATTAATGTACTCACAGTACTTAGTCAATGGTTAAACTGTAGGGCCTATTTTACGTGGCTGTAAATTCCATAAAATAATATATCTAAAATAGTCCTCTTGGGCTTCTTAAATTGTCACCTTACACTGATGGGCAATATCTGTTAGTAAATCATTCCCAAACATTAACATAACGTTAACATGTCAAAGTTACAATTATTATTTCACTCTCTTCTAGAATCGATAGTAATTCCTGTAATTCGTCTACTTTAATTACAGTTATTGTATTATTGTGGATGCTATGAAATAAATTCTTAGTATTCAACGTCCTGTGAACTCAAGTTTTTATTTTATAAGTCAGGTAAATACGAAAACAATATTGCAAACATCTTGGATGTTCAATCCAAAGTATCAGTAATTATTTTATTCCCAGCCTGTAACGAATATTATTGTATTTCTACTATTTGATTTATAATGGATAAACTACCGAGAGTATTCAATTCGTCAAATAAAGTGTTACAAAAAAAAAACCTTTACTTATTCGGTGCAACCGATACTTACATTCCGAAGAAAAACCCGTAACCACCCGGTACAATCGATATATACATTCGATATTTATGACGTCAGTATAAGGTTTCTGTACATGTGAACTTGTGCTCTCCTATCTTTTGCACCTCCTGTTCCAAATCCTTCGGCCGCCATCTATGTATGTCTCATATATATATATACATATATATATATATATGTCCTATCTACTCTTGCAATAATTACGTGTTAAAGATCTTTCTACAACCATACATTAAACATAAGCCCAGCCCAATACTTCCCTTGTGTTGATTACTCTGGCACAACTAAATCTATTGTTCTACTGGATCGAGTTAATTAGTTAATTGGTAGTTGGAAATTTGAAAATGGGTCCCTGTAGTTAATAGTTCTTTTCATAATAGTTCTTTTCAACAATCTCCCATCAATCTTAAGATCTGTTCAAGATTCCATAGTATCTTTGACTGTACAGTAGTATTTAGGAAGAGGCTGTAATGTTTTCTAATTGGAAAAACGTATTATGTTTTATATATGTCATTACTCCATAAGTTTGAACATGTAATTATATTTTAGAGGGATTGTTTTATTTAGTTATTATTTTGACTTTGCATACAATGTTACTAACTATGTCTACATGCTGAATAAAGAATTTTAATACACTACAAACGGATTTTTTTTTCAAGTTTATATTTGTAGACGTTTAGGCTGCCTTTATTGAGTACAGTATTTTCAAGAAATA